CATCTGAAGTCCCAATAGAGACTAGTATTGTACCCAGCCAGGGGATGGGCAGCTTGATGAGCCCTTAACACTCATGTGGGCCAAGCAATGAATGAAAAAAGCAAAGTTGAAACCAGTTCCAAATTTTGTATCATGTTTCTTTCTCTGTAAGCTTTTCACAGACACTTCTGGCCATGTGGCATCACATTCTGAGGCCTGGTGGCCTCCCTTACATTTCTGATGACTAGCTCGGCAGTGAAAACATCCCTTCTTTCTGCCTCTGTGTCTAGAAGAGTCCCCAAGGTTAGCAGACTATTGAGGAAACATCTCAGCAGCATGACTGAACCTGGTCATGAGTGGCAGGTTGTGGTGGTTAATCTTACGAGTCAATTTGACCTGGACTTTGCCAAGATAATATGGCCCCAATCCTTTTCCATTATCATCCCCTCCCCTCTATTTTCCTAGGGTGATTGACAGAGGCAACTGTTTCCCTGGTGTGTGTGTGTGTGTGTGTGTGTGTGTGTGTGTGTGTGTGTGTGTGTGTGTGTGTGTATCTGTGTGTCTGTGTGCATGCATGCATACCTCTACCTATAGCACATGGTCTTCCCAATATCTGATGTTAACTCTCTCAGAATGTGGATAGTCTACCTATTATGTATATTACAATCAGCTGAAAAACACATTAAGATGCAAGTTTCTCAATCCCATCCCAGACCCTTCAACCATGAGCTAAGAAGAGGCTCAGACTGCCTCCAGGAGACTGCAATTTCAGTGCATTCCTTGTAGCCCGAAGCTTGGCTCTCTGTGTGTAATATGTTGGGAATATCATTGATACAGTCTGGACTGTGTTCCCTCTAACTTGTTAACCGGTGTAACTTACCATTCTTTCTCAGCTTCTGGGTGTCTGCTCTTGACCTCCTCTGAAGGTCTGCTTGAATAGGAGCATCATCTTCACAAAGTCCTCTGACACTGCAGATGGATGTAGTCTAGTACCTCTCAAGAGGCATCCCCTCATCTGGAGGGGTGTGTGTGTATGTGGTGGGATGGGGAGGGGGTGCAGCTCTACTTCAGCTGGGCCCTGTGCTTGATCACAGAAATGATACAGCCTTTTAGGAAGTCAGCTTCTCCAGTGTCATATACAAGAGCTATGATCAGTCTGGTGTTTTCTTTGATTATATAAACAACGGGGTCAAGTATTTCATGGGAACAGAGTAATTTACATAGAAGGCCATGGATCTCCTGGGAAGGATGGCCATGAAGTTTAGGGGGAAATTGTGGAATTTATAGGAAAAATGATGCCTAGACCAAAGGCACACCTGCTGCAGTCTTGAACACACAGTACAGAGGACCATCCTACTGATAGCCATGAATATGCTTGTTTTTTAGATAGCACTCTGTTTTTTTTTGTTTATTTGTTTGTTTTGAGACAGGGTTTCTCTGTGTACCATGGCTGTCCTGGAACTCATTCTGTAGACCAAGCTTGCCTCAAACACATAGAGATCTGCCTGCCTCTGCCTCCCAAGCACTGGGATTAAAGACATTCACTATCATCACTTGGCACATTGTATTTCTTTAAAATGAAGATTTAAAGGTGTAAGTCATGCTAGAATTCCTGCATGGCATGTGGGAAGCCCTGGGTTCAATTCTCAGTATCAGAAAAAAAGGAAGAGAAATGAAATAGAAACCCAGACTTTAGCCTTCTGGAAAGATCCAGAAGATTAATAGCTCAGACCTGTCTCCTCTTAGAAAGCAACAGTGACATAGGAGGTGAGGATGGTGGTACTCAGAACCTGGACATGTCACTTTCGATGCTTACTTGGCAATATTACTGTGCTGTGTGGCCCATCTTCTTAGATGAGCTCAGCATTGTCAACCTGCTGTCGCCCAGCCTCTGCTGCTCAAGAATGTGAGTTTACATGGACAAGGCCCCTTATCTACTTCCCGTGACTCAGGACACTAGCTCATAGCCAAGCTGAGAGCACCTAGTTGCACTACCATCTCGTGCTCTTTTCCCTTTAAATGTTCAGTTCTGGAAGACTATCCCTTTGCTGGCACTGTCTTGTCTTTCACCCGGATCTGGCTAGCTGGGGTGTTTTTCTGGAAACTTGGCACCCAGAGGGAGCATGCATTGTTATCACCTGACCCGTGCTTTCCCTATAACATTGAATCACCCACAAAGGCACCGGCTGGAAGTCAGTGTCTGAGGGAGAAAGATTTGGGTATTAGGTCCCAGGATTGCTTTGTCTGGGAGATCTGTCCAAGGAAGTATCTAGCCCCAGAGGGTCCGAGGGTGTCTTCTGGGTCTTCTCTATCACACGACCGAAAGGTTCCTGTGACTGCCCTTGTGAGCTGAGGATTGTTGGCCACAGGTTTCAAGAGTAAAATTAACAAGGGGAAGTAGGTGTAGTCAGCAGGGCTTCCAGCAGCAGTCCTGAAAACCCCCGCCCCAATCTATTCATTAAAAAATTTTTAAATGATGAAAAAAGCTTAGGGACTCCACATTTCATTTTAAACTGTTGAG